AAGCTTTTGCAGATGCATCAGCTGGCTATTGCCACAGTAATCCTCCGTAATAGATCACCCCAAAACTCAACAGCACACAGCAATGAGCATTTATTCTTATGATCATAGTTTTGCAGGTCAACTAGGACAGTGGTGTTTTAGACTGTGGGTCCATGAACTGGCAGAAGGGGCTCTGCTCTGGGGTGTGGATTAAGCTTTGGTCTACTTTATATATGTTGATTCTAGTCCCAGGCTAAAAGGGAAAGTATACTTTTCTCATGGTGGGATCACTGGAGAGAACAAGAGAGCCAACCAAACCATGAAAGCACATGTTACTAACATCCCGTTGGCCAAAACACGTCACATGAACAAGCCCAAAGGCAAGGGGCAGGGAAGATCACTCTTCCTACTATGAGGACATGGCAAGGGTGTGGATGTCTATGACAGAGGAATGAAGAATTGGGATCAGTAGTTCAACCTACCATGTAACACACAACCAGAGGTATTACTTACATTTTCTTCTCAGGGTCACAAAATGGCTGAAACATTCTTAAGCATCTTGTCCTCTTACGATGTCATCCAAAGGCAGGAAGATATGAGTCGTATCTTGTTCTTTCTCAGAAGGCCTGCTTCTTTCCCTTCTCTGTGTCCTTTTACTTCTCATTTGCAAGGCTTGCTTCCCATGCCCATTCCTGATCAAATCATTGGTGAGAGGAATAGAATTGACATGATTCACCCATACGAGAAAACATTCACACGCTGGGGCTGAGGAATGGCTTCTGAAACACAGATGTCTAGTATCTGAACAAAAGAGGGGTTATGTTAACATGAATGATTAGGATAGATGACAGTTAGGAGGACAGCCAACAACATCTGCTTCCATATCTTCCTAAAGATTGTCATAAAGTTTCCAAACCATGAGAGATTGGTTCGGAAAGTCACAGAAATGAATATTAAGCTGAAATTTGAAGGATGAGTAACAGTTACCTGTGTGAAGAAGACAGGTAAGAACATTTCAGGTGGAAAAACATACATGAAAGTTCTGTAGCAGAGTGAGCTCGGGGAGTGTGGCCGTCTTAAGAAATGTAGAGTGTGGGAGAGGATAAGAACCATGCCATTTAGAGGCTTGCAGATCAAGTTTAAGCTTTTATTCTTCATGCTAAGAGCAATGGAAAGCAACTAAAGAGTTTTAAGCAAGGAAGCGATATAATCAGAATTGAGTTTAAAAGAAAATCATACTAGCTACAGAATGGGGACAAACAGATGAGATGCAAGAATGGATGTAGGGAGATGAGTTGGGAATTTATTACATGGTTCAGCTGAGAGTAGATAACAGCTTGGCTAGAATGATAATAATAGAGATAAAAAGATGTGACTCAATTTGAGAAATATTTAGGAGGCAGAGCTCATAAAACTTAAATGATGAATTCGATCTGGGGGTGGTGACAAATGAAGGTAGCAAAAGCTATTCTTAGATTTCAGGATTATATAGCTGGATCGATGCTGGTAACATTCACTGAGACAAGGAATATAAGAAGAGGTCCAGATTTGAGTAGGAAGACCACAAGTACAGATGGCAAGCTTGAGATGCCTTTGGGATATTGAAAAAGAAATGTTGGATTTATGGGTCTGAGATATTATGAGTTATCTGCACATAAATGGTAATCGATGCCAAAGACATTAATAAGGGGTAAGAAGAAGAAGAAGAAGAGTAAATGGGTTCCTTGGGGAACCCCAGCGCTCAGTGGGCTATGAGATGGCAAAGGAAGCTGAGAAGGACCAATCAGAGAAATAAAAGAAAGCCCCAAATGTAGAAAGAAGACCAGAAGCCAAGAGAACAGGGAATTTCAATGAAGAGGTTAGTGGTAAAGAGAACTGAAGAAGTTGAGCTGGATTTGGCAGCAGTGAAGTTGTAGCTCATGAGTAAATTAGCAAATACTGTTTTGGTGAAGTGATGAATGTGGATGGATTGAAGAGTAGGAGTTGAGAAAATGGAGACGTTGGGTAGAAGAAACCTTTCTCAAGAGTTTGGATTTGAAGGGGACAGAAAATAGAAGTGGGAAATGCAACTACGGGAAGGTTGGGACAGAAGTTATTGAGAGAATTCAAAGCTGATGGGAAGTATCCAGTTGAGAAGAAGAGGGTTTTATATTCAAGAGAGAGAGATGGCATGAGAAAGACTTAAGAGTCTTCAGAAGACAGGAAGTAATGTATTTTTACATACTTATGTAGTTAAAACCTATATGCTTGTGTATCTTTTCTTACGTGAACTATTGAACAATGCACATTTGGCTGCAAGGGGAAAAATGCCCCACTAACAGAGTATTAAAAGCTAAAGACATTTAATTAATGTACATAATGCAAAGCATGGAAATTGGCGGATCTGGAGTTGTTTCAATGGCTCATGTATATCACCAAACACCTGGACTAGGTTCTTTCTATCTTTTCCATGCCGCCTCTTCAGTGTCAGCGATGTGTCTTTTCATGGACTCCAGATGGCTGCCACAGCTCTAAATACCTTATCCTCATACAACAGCATCCCAAGCAGAAAAGCAAGTGGGGGAGGTGTGAGTAACTAAAGCTCTTTCTGTATCCGCCACTCTTTTTATTAGGAAGAAATCTTTTTTCTTTTTCTTTTCTTTCTTTCTTTTTCTTTTCTTTTTTTTTTTTTTTACAAATAGTTTATTGTCAAGTTGGTTTCCATATAACACCCAGTGTTGATCCCCACAAGTGCCCTCCTCCATGCCCCCCTCCCCCCCCACACCCATCAGTCTTCAGTTTGTTCTCAGCATTCAAGAGTCTCTCATGATTTGCCTCTCTCCCTCTCCCCCACTATTTCCTCCCTTCTTAGCAATTTCTTACTTGACACATCCTCAAAAGCAAGGGAATCAAGAGCAAAAATAAACTATTGGGACCTCATCAATATTAGGAAGAAATCTTAACCTGAAGCCATTGACAGACTTCTATGTTTCATTGGCCAGGACTGAGTCACATGACTACCTTCAGGCCGATTGCTGGCAAAGGGAAATGAGTTTTCCATGATGGGCTTAGATCCATCATTTTTTATCCCAGTGATTGGGCACATTGCAACCCAAAAACATCAGGGCAAAAAAGAATGTGGAATAACTCTGAACTGACATCTCCAAGAGTGGCTACCATCAAGAATGTTTGCCTCAGTAGGCAAACATTAATCGGTTCATACTTGTGTGTGTATGTGTAATTATAAAATTAGTTCACAACATTAAAAATTTGCAGGGGTCCCTGAGTGACTCTGTCGGTTAAGTCTCCAACTCTTAATTTTGTCTCAGGTCATGGTCTCAAGGTTTGTGAGATCAAGCCCTGAGTCAGGCTGTGTGCTGACAGTGTGGAACCTGCTTGGGATTCTCTCTCTGCCCCTCCCCTGATCTTTAAATAAATAAATAACCATTTAAAAATTGCATAAAATTGAAAGGTGTAATAAAGTTAAAATAAAATAATGTGTAATCCCAGTAACCCCAAAATAAGCAACTGTAATTAACATTGTAGCATAGAGCCTTTGAGAATTTTTCTATGCTTAAAAAAAGTGTTTTTTCCCCCTCTCTCAAAATTGGGATTATAGTCTGTGCATGACATAATATGCTTTTTTATCATATGAAACAGATTTTTTTGAAAAAAGATGTTAAAACTGTAAACTTGATCTTTGTAAGTTCTGTTTCTTTTATGTTTATAGTTGTTCCATATTCTAGCAGTATATGAACATGCTCATTTCTTCATATCCTTAAAACAGTTGGTATATCAATCATTCCTTGGGATCTTTAATAGTATATGAGGTAAAAATGATAGATCAATATAATTTTTACTTTTTGTTTTAGGTGAAAAAAATTCCATGCATACATTTGCCATTTGAATGTTTGTTCTTTTTTTTTTTTTTTTTGCTTATTTTTTTCTTATTAATTTGTGTGAATCCCCGTACATATTAAGGACATTGATTTTTTTTAATGTTTTTTATTTATTTCTGAGAGAGAGAGAGAGAGAGAGACAGCATGAACAGGGGAGGATCAGAGAGAGAGGGAGATACAGAATCTGAAGCAGGCTCCAGGCTCTAAGCTAGTTGTCAGCACAAAGCCTGACGCGGGGCTCGAACCCATGAACCGTGAGATCATGACCTGAGCCGAAGTCAGATGCTTAACTGACTGAGCCACCCAGGTGCCCCAAGGACATTGATTTTTTCTGACACACAGGTTTCAAGTTTTTTGTTTCCAGTTTGTTGTTGACCTGGGCCATAGGCAGAAATATTTACTTTTTTAGATACATTCATCACATTTTTCTCTGATGGCTTCTGAGGCAGTAGAGCATAGAATTTAATATCTGGGTCTTGGAGTCAGACATACTTGAACTTGAATCTTGGCTCTTTCCATGATCTGACTGCAAAGACCCTTGAGAAAATGACCCAACTTTTCAGACACTTTGTTTCTCTATCTATAAAATGGAGACAATGACTTTTTTGAAAGACTGTTATGCAAAGTATATGCAAATCATGTACAAAAAAGAGTTTAGTCGGGTGGCTAGCATATTAATGCTCAATAAACTTTAGTTATTGTTATAATAATTAATATTATGATTATGATTATAAAGGGTCTTCCCAGGCAAATTTTGTTAAAATATATACATGTGTTTTCTTGTCTTTAAAGGTAAACGACAATGTTGAATGTTTACATTCAACATATAATGTAATGTAAACGCTGAAACAATTTCACATAAATTAAAATTTGAATTTGAGTAATACAAATTCAAAGACTGTTTTGGGAGATTTTCAAGTCTTCTAGAAATATAATCTACTGAATGTTTATTTCTTTGAATATAGGCTGTATTTAATGGTTGAAAGTTATTTTGTGAAGTTATTTATCCTTTATGCAACCATTCCACCCGTCTCTATTTTCAGTGAATCCAATGAGTTACTGATTATGGAAGAAATCAAATAGATATTTTTCATATTTATGTTCAATCTGAAAGTGTTAAGTCAAAGATAATTTTCAAGGGACACCTGGCTGGCTCAGTCGGTAGAGCATGGGACTCTTGATCTCAGGGTCATGAGTTCGAGTCTCACGTTGGGTGTGGAGATAATTTAAAAATAAAACCTTTAAAAAGAAGAGGTAATTTTAAAGATTGCATGAAAACATTAAGAAACCATAATGTCCTTTTCAGTGTTTTCCTCCCATTTCAGTTAATATTCAGAAGGGATGGCTGTGTTCTTAAGGTGGATGACCACAGATGGAGAAGGAGAGATTTACATACATATTTAATTCTAAAGTGCTGACTTGTAATGTGATAGTAACAGGAATCATGGCTTTGAGAGTACTTCCTGGGTAATGACTCCTTCTGCTGGATGAGGCTGTGCTTTGTGGCTCCACAGACAGGGTGGGAAGGTCCCAGAATTCCGAGCTCCTTAGACAGGAAACGTGGCCTGAAGGTTAGAGCTGGGCTCCAGACTGCCTGGATTTGCACTGAGCTGTGCTGCTTAGTGGCTCTGTGACCTTAGGCAAGTTACCTCACTTCTCTGTACCTTGGTTTCTTTGTTCATACCATCAGGATAAGAGTAGTACTCACCCACCTAAGGGTATTGCAAAGAGGCAGTGATTTAATAGCTTTAAAGCTTTAAAGCACTTAGAACAGTACCTGACACAGTAAGCAGTCCGTGAATATTACTCTTATTTATTTATTTTTTTAAATGTTTATTTATCTCTGAGAGAAAGAGAGAGACAGTGCGGGGGGAGGGCAGAAAGAGAGGGAGACACAGATTCCGAGGCAGGCTCCAGACACAGAGCCTGACGCAGGGCTCGAACCCACGAATCGTGCGTGAGACCCTGATGTGAGCTGAAGTCGGACGTCTAACCGACTGAGCCACTCAGGCGCTCTTCCATAAATATTATTATGATCCTGTCCTCCTCTACACAACTTCTATCTTGCCCTGTGGCATTTATCTTGAAACCATAATGTTAATATAGCTATAGAAATACCTGGGATTTGTTGCTTGTCATTATAGAGAGGGAATCCCAGGCTCTCTTAAGGTTTCATGCTCCAATCTGAGTAGAGAAGCAGGATGCAGATGGAAGGTAAGGAAAGTGGAGAGCATTTACTGTGCATCAAGATGTCGGTGCTAGTGACTATCTCTCTAATGAAGAAAGGCACTCTTTTATTTAGTATACTAAATACAATCTATTTCAGGCATTCATAAGATAGCATTAAAATCCACTTACGGTACCCACAGGCTACTGCCGTTATGCAGGTATCTGCTGGCATATTGCTTTGGGTAACTGAATAATGAAGCACTCATTCGATTTGCAGACTTGCAGAGCAGTGTATTTAGGGATTAGCTTAATGTTTCATCACTGTTTGTTATGAAAAGGACAGATAATGGAAAGATCGCCCTGCTGCCTCCCAGCAGAAACCTCTCCAGTGATAGCTGAATGAGGTACAAGCTGATCTGGAAATCCAGGTAATTTGCTTCTCCTTTCATACTTCTCCTTTTCCATGAGAATTTCATTCATTTCCTTTGTGCTTGCTGTGGCGGAGAGGTGTGGTAAATTACCATTAAGTGTGAAGTTATCATTTCTGGCCTCAATTAGAGTCTCAGAATTAAACAGCAGCCCTGTAACTAGAGAAGTATCTGCAGAATCAGCCCCATGAACACCCAAGCACTGACATTGTTCCTGTTTTGAAGGTGCTTTTCGGTAACACAGTGACATTGAGATCTAAAAGATAATAGAGAATACTCGCTAATAACCTCCGTATTGAGGTAAGAGGGGAAAATTCAACAGCTGTCTTCCTTTCTTAAGGAAAATGCCAATTTCTTGGTGACTTGAAAAATACTCCTTAGATTTAATAAAGTAAAACTTTTTTCCCCCAACTCATTATACTTCAGGTGAATTTAAAAAAAAAAAAAAAAAACCCTGTATATTTCTTGAGGTGCCTGGGTGGCTCAGTCAGTTAAGCATCCGACTTCGGCTCAGGTCATGATCTCACGGTTCCTGGGTTCCAGCCCCACATCGGGCTCTGTGCTGACAGCCCAGAGCCTGGAGCCTTCTTCAGATTCTGTGTCTCCCTCTCTCTCTGATCCTCCCCTGCTCACACTATCTCTCTCTCTCAGAAATAAATTTTTAAAAAACATTTAAAAATTTTAAAAATGCGTATTTATTTATATTTGATAGAGACAGAGTGAAAGAGGGGGAGGGGCAGAGAGAGAGGGAGACACAGAATCTGAAGCAGGCTCCAGGCTCTGAGCTGTCAGCACAGATCATCCATGTTGTAACATGTATTCAAATGTCTTTCCTTGAACCCATGAACCCTAAGAGTCGAAGTCGGATGCTACCAACAGCCACCGAGGTGCCCCAGATAAAATTCTTTTTAAGACTCTAGTTACATAGTGTATTTAGAACCAGATTTAAAATAATAACATCCTAGATTTGTGTAGATCAACCTGGTGTCTGTTAGCTATGCCACTTGTGGGAATGTAGCCTTATTGGCAAAGGCAGCACCGAATATTTCAGACATGTAGTTAGTGGTTGAGTGGTACTAAAGTACACCTTAATTCAAAGCCATTGCCAATATGACCTTTTTTACTCAGATGTAAGGGGCAAGACATGGGCTTCTCTCTATGCTCTGGCTATTCCTTCAAGTGGCCCCTTTAGCAGGCGACCATTCCTGAATGGAGGATGAATTGGACCCCAAGATGGTTGTGAGGGTCAAAGGGATGAATCCATGCGGGAGCCTATTATTTGCTGCCACATGTGCTAACTCAACTTATTCGCATTCTTCTTTTATTGTGGTAAAATACACATAACATGAAATTGTACATTTTATCCATTTTAATGTGTACAAGCCAGTGGTATTAACTACATCCACATCGTTGTGCGGCTACCACCTCTACCCATCTGGAGAACTTTTGCATCTCCCTAAACAAAAACTCTGCACCCGCTGAACAATAACTCCCCATTCTTCCCTCTCCACACTCCCTGACAGCCACTATTTGATTTTCAGTCTCTATAGAATTGCCTATTTTAGGAAACTCATACACATAGAATCATACCATATTTGTCCTTTTGTGTCTAACTTCTTTCTTTATTATTAACAAAATTTTTAATGTTCATTTATTTTGGGGGGGAGGGGAAAAGAGAGAGGGAGACACAGAATCCAAAGCAGGCTCCCGACTCTGAGCTGTTAGCACAGAGCCTGACATGGAGCTTGAACCCACGAATGGTGGGATCATGACCTGAGCCAAAGTCAGATGCCCAAGCAATGGAGCCACCCAGGTGCCCTTAGGTTCTTTAATTTAGTATAATATTTTCAAGGATCATCCATGTTGTAACATGTATTCAAACATCTTTCCTTTTTAAGGCTGAATAATATTCCATTGTATGTATATACTGTATTTTGTTTATCCATTCATCTGTTCATGAACATTTGAGTTACATTCTTAAAAGATTGCATACAGATGACCAGAAAACTTACTTTGGGTCCTCTGGAGTAAAGCCCTCAATCTTGGTAGATTGTATTTGCTTGTAATTCTTCCCTCCCCACTATTACCATGACCCACTATAAGTGAAATATATTTCACCACCCCATTGATGTTGGGCTTTACCATGTGATTTGCTTTAGCTAAGGAAAAATGTGCAGAAGTTTCGGTGTGCCTTTCTGAACCAAAGCCTTAAGAGGTATTGCATGTGTCTGTCAGCCATGTTGGGCTTTTGCCATTACCATTAAAAAAGCAAAAACAAAAACAAAAACAAACGAGGCCTGCAAAACCAGTGGTCCCATAATTAGGAGTCGCATGTAACAGACCTGAACCAATTCACATCCTGGAGCCAAGGCCAGCCAATCCCAGCAAAGTCTAGCACAGATAATAATCCACAGGCTTGTGAGTCAGAAATATATGATTATTATTTGAAGCCACATAATTTGGGATTCTTACATAGATTTAGTTCAGCAATAGGTGACTAATTCAGGCCTTGGTAAGAGAAGGCAGAAGCTTGTCTCCCATAATTCCAGGGCTCACTGTAGCTTGTGGGTGGGTAGAATTCTCTCCAGGAAAATGCCTTCCTGATTTTGACCCAGCTCAGGACAACGTGGCTCTTCTTGGCTCTCAGAAGCAAATTGACAGTCTGGGATGAGATGGGCACTGGACCTCCAGGCTGTTTCCTTGCTCTTTTAATAAATGGAGCCCTAACTGGGGTTTTCTCAATTGCAGAGGCTCTGGTGAAGATGGCAATCAGCCTATTTAAGATGATTAGATTTCAGGGCAGAACTTTTCATTGGCTTGCCCTCCTCCAAGTGCTCTACTCTTTCACTTATTCTGAGCTGAATATTCATCATATATGAGGCTCCTTTCATCTTTCTTCTTCATTCTCCATCCTTCAGCTCATGGCCTTCAAGCTTGTATTTTCTTTAAGGTAACATTGCCTTTCAGGCTAATGATAAGAGATCTGTTAGATGTTGGTGGACCTAAGCCATCCAAAGTATCAACCAAGGGTCGCGTTGGGGTGATGTCTGGCAGAGGATAAGACTGCCTTCTATTGCTCCATGACTACTGCTTACATGGGGCTGTGTCACGATTCCTGAGTATGGGTTGAACACGGGTGGACCAAACTTACCACTTAGAAAATATTTCAGAGGAAAGAAACATGGGTAATTTAAAATATGAACTTCTATTTTATTTTTATTTTTTTAAGTTTATTTATTTTGAGAAGGGGGGGGTGGGAGAGAGAATGAGTGGAGGAGGGGCAGAGAGGGAAGGGGACAGAGGGTATGAAGTGGGTTCTGTGCTAATAGCAGAAAGCCTGATGTGGGGCTTGAACTCACAAACTGTGTGATCATGACCTGAGCCAAAACTGGACACTCATTCAACTGAACCACCTGAATATGAACTTTTTAGGCTATAGCTTATTTATTATTATTGCTTTGGGAAGAAGGAGTTGCTAATACGATTACTTTAAATATTGCCACACACTTTCCTCATTCTTGCCCTACAACTTTTTCTTACCTCCTCTTGTCATTGCTGTTCACTTTTCTAGTCCCAATGGCATGCAAATGTATTGTTCCTGAAACATTGACCACTGGAG